CTTAAGTTCAGCATCAATACATAAATATGGTGACTTCCTGGGGGGCAGGGGGCAGGTTGGAAGCAGAGCAGGTCAAAACTCCCATGCTGATCAGTGGTGGGATCATGTCTGTGAATAGCCACTGCACTCCAGCCTGGGCAACATAGTGAGACCTGTCTCTAAAATGGATAAAATAAAAAGGGGAAATTGGACTGGGTGTGGTGGCTCACAGGTGTGATCCCAGCACTTTGGGAGGCTGAGGCAGGAGGATCACTTAAGGCCATGAGTTCAAGACCAGACCAAGCAACATTAGCAAGGCCCCTTGAGTATACAAAAAATAGAAAAATTAGCTGGGTGTGGTGGTATGGACCTGTAGTCCCAGCTACCTGAGAGGCTGAAGCAGGTGGATCACACAAGCCAAGGAGTTTGAGGTTTCAATGAGATATGGTGTTGCAACTGTACTCTAACCTGGACAGCAGAACAAGACCCTTCCTCAAAAAAGGCAGTGGGTGGATATCAAATGATAAGAGTAGAGAAAATCCTCAGCATCATTCCTTCAATAACTACAACAGTGATGTTTCATGTAGACATGCTAATGTTATACATAAAATTTTTCATTTTAAAAACTGAATTAACGTTTAGTAGGGGGAGAAATTTTTACTGGTAATAAAGTTTAGTAGGGATAGAAATTTTTACTTTTGATCTAATAAAGTTTAGTAGGGGTAGAAATTTTTACTATAGTAAAGTTTAGTAGGGATAGAAATTTTTACTTTTGATCTTTGTGTTGTTATTCATTTGCATCATTTTTCTGTTATCCTGTTACACCATTCACGTGTAGCATAAAAACTCACAGGAACAAAATAGAAATAAATCTAAAAACAAGTTTTAAAATTTTAGTTAAACCTTTTTATATGGTTAACACCTACAATGCACAGATGTGGCTGTATCTAAATGCCCACTGTTTGACAGGGAAGGAAGTTAGTCTTGGATAAAAATTGGAAAAAATTACAAAATAAATTTATTTATCAATTTCATTAAGTGTAGCCTTACCTTTTCACCATAATGCTTACCTTATTCATTTGCTAAATTCAAATGGTATAAGTAGATGAGAAGGGAAATGATAGAAAGATGGATAGATATACTCTGATATATGTACCTGTTTGGATCTCGTAAGTAAATACATCATCTATGACATAATTCTCATTTCCCAAACATTTTAAAGATATTTGCTGTTAAATGATTGTTTTTTGAGTATCTGGATCAAAATGATAGAAAAGAGTAATTACAAACCAAATCATTTACATGATGCATCATGAAATTCATTTCTAATTACATTAGGTAAAAATTCAAAATCAGAAATGTATTTTAAGAAATTAATAAGAAAGACATATATATAGGCTTAAACACTATGCAGCTATTTCCTACAAAGTAGTATTCTGTAAGTCACTCTGATAAAATGACTTTGATGAAACTTGAATAAAATAAAAAATATGAATACTTATTTTATCCCTTTTTCAGTAATGTAGGAGAAAGATGAAGAGTAGAGGAAGGACCATGCCCTTTTTTTCCATAATATTTTGTGAGGTCTTATAGAACAGGCAGCATCAGATAAGGTGTCCTGAGGGAAGATGCAGACATTTTATGACTATGAAAACTCTATCAGCATAGTCATTCTTCATGACAGAGCAAAGTATTAGCATTTAAAATGCTTTGAAAAATATCTATTAAAAAAAGAAGAAAAATATTTATTGAGCTAGGAAAAACACATCTGTATCGTAAAGTATAAAATATGTAGGCAAATTTAAATTAAAAACTCATTTCAATTCAATTCACTAACAGAACTAACATTCATTCCACTTTATAGTAACTATCCTTTTACTAAAAAAGTAATTATATTTTTGTTTACAATGTCATGTTTATTTCATGTTTTAATGGAATTCTTAATATTGTTATCCAGAGTGTGAAAAACAACAACCCTCCATATGTAAAATGCGTTAGCATGTTAGTCCTGTTAACGTGCTTATAGACAGTAATAATTTCATTAAATGATTAATATTTTATGTAATGTTTAACAAAATTGCATTGACTTTTTTACATCTACCTAGAAAAGTTTGAGAGATAACCAGTGAAATTTAAAAGAAAATAAAAGTTTAAGCCTTAGAGGATTTAAAAAATATTTACACCAAAGTTTTATATTTTCTTCATTTTAATGAATGAAGACAAAACAGTTTAGGAACCTTAACTAAAGGTTAACACTTAAAGAGTGTTAACCTTATTAACACTTTTATGCCCAAGAAATATAGTTTTTTGTTTAAAAATAAATTTTTTAGTTTGTATTAATTAAAATTAACAAAAATGAACATAATTTATAAATAATTTTAAGATTCAGGATAAGCATCCTTTCAAGTAAAAGTTTATTATGGAAATTCTAGAAGACTTTTAACTGCTAACATCAATGTGTTATATGAATTAGTCTCCTGAGGCTAAAAGCAAGACTCACAGCAATTTCTATATTAATTTTCTCCCCTGTGTAACATTATGTCTCCCACTGAAATACTAATTTTCTTCTGCTTCTTTTGTTAAAATTAAGCCTTGGTAGGATCTTCATAGTTAAATAGGAAAACTAAATTTTGAAATACAGAAGTTAGATATTATTCTTTTTTTTTTTTTTTAAGACACAAAGTCTCACTTTATCACCCTGGGTAGAGTGCAATGGCATCACAGCTCACAGCAACCTCCAACTCCTGGGTTTAGGGGATTTTCTTGCCTCAGCTTCCTGAGTAGGTGGGACTACAGGTGCCCACCACAACGCCCGGCCTTTTTTTGGTTGCAATTTGACCGGGGCTGGGATTGAACCTGCCACTCTCAGTATATGGGGCCAGAGTCCTACCTACTGAGCCACAGGTGCTGCCCAAGTTAGATACTTTTTTTTTTTTTTTTGCAGTTTTTGGCCAGGGCTGGGTTTAAACCTACCACCTCTAGCATATGGGGCCAGCTCCCCACTCCTTTGAGCCACAGGCGCAGCCCGATATTATTCTTAGCACTCATCTTTTGTTTTCTACATAAACATGTTCTTTGTTTGTTTGTTTGTTTGTTTGATAGAGTCTCACTATGTCACCCTCGGTAGAGTGCTATGATGTCACAGCTCACAGCAACCTCAAACTCTTGGGCTTAAGCAATTCTCTTGCCTCAGCTTCCCAAATAGCTGGGACTATAGGCACCTGCCACAGTCCCTGGCTATTTGTTGCATATTGTTAGAAAATAATATACAAAAATTTAGCTCTTCTCCTAGCTGTCTAACTGGCCGGGCCGGATTTGAACCCACTACCCTTGGTATATGTGGCTGGCGCCATAATCACTGTGCTATGCTCACCAAGCCAACATGTTCATTTTTGTAATCTAACCTAAAACTTAATAATGTGGTTATTTGATATCATAAGAGTTTAATCCATACTATTAAGCCAGAATCAGACCAAAATCTTAAGTTAAGGTAGTTGGCTATTTGAAATCATGAAGATGCTGTGCTAGAAATTCTTAATGATTAAATGTGCTAATGAGTTTGAGACAGTGATCCAGTTAACACATGCTTTATTGAAGAAATAAATCAATCATATCCTAAGCATTTACAGTATACTCCACTATAGGTATTCACATCATGATTGGTAAATGGCATGGTGGTGCCGATAGGAGAGGTTTTAGTGGCCTTAGCAAAATGTTTCCAGGGAATCAGAAATGTCTGGTTTATTCTGTCACCCATAGGTTTGAAGTTCATAAAAAGAATAGACATTGACAGAACAGGAGTAACATTCTAAATGAGATTACGTATGGAGGGTTGTTGTCTTTCACACTCTGGATAGCAAGCTATTAAGACAAAGTTTTCTCTAATATGGTTGTCAAATGATCAAGTGCTGCTGCTTCTCTTCATTGGAAGAACAGCTAAATTTTTTCTATATAGGTTGTTAAGTATACAGGAAAATAACATGAAACTGTTGGTTTGGTCTTAACAGTTTAAACTAGATCACCTCAGATAATCCAGTTCACTAAAACATTTAGTAGTCTAGAAACTGTGCACATATGAAACCAAAACCACCCTGAAACATGACCTAACCCCACTGAGAACAGCCCACTGTTCTCCCCCACTGCAGACGCTGGCACGGATGTGAAGAGAAGGGAACACTTTTAAACTGTTGGACTATAAACTAATACAGACTCTTTGAAAAGAAGTATGAAGGATCCTTAAAGAGCTCAAATTAGAACTTCTATTTGATCCCACAATCCCATTACTAGGCATCTACCCAGAAGAAAAAAGTATGCTATCATAAGGACATTTGCACTAGATTATTCCATCACCAAGATGGGGAAACAACCTAAATGCCCATCAACCGAGGAACTGATTAACAATTATATGTGTAACAGGGAATACTATTCAGCCATAAAAAAGATGGAGACACTTTTTGTATTAACCTAGATGGAGATGAAACACATTCTCCTTAGTAAAGTATCACAAGAATAGAAAACCAAATATCCAATGTGCTTAATACTAATATGAAACCAGTAAGCAATCTAACACATGCCCACATAAGAGGAAAACTCACTTCAAAAGGGTAATAAGGCAGGGGGAGAGAGGATGATGAACGGAGGGAATTGGTGTCCTCCCACTTAATGGACACAGTGGAAGGGTATATGACATGCCTTTTGGATTAGGACACAACTACAAGAGGATCTCTACCTAACAAACACAAATGCTATAATCTAATGATGTCTTCACATTAACCTGAAATAAGGGGAAAAAAAAAAAAAGAATGCACATATGAGTCATCTTCTTGGGCAACTTTTAGCAAATATAATGATTTATAATTAATAGTAAAATCCAATATGGTTAAAAATATAATACAAAAAAGTATATTAATGCTCTATGGTTAAAATGAACTAACAGTGAAATATTTTTAAGATTAAGACTTAATCATCTACATTGTCTAATATGATTGTATTAAATAAAATATTTCCTGTTTCTTTTATAGCCAATTGGTGCTTTGAACCCAAAGAGAGCTGTGTTTTATGCAGAACGTTATGAAACATGGGAAGATGATCAAAGCCCACCCTACCATTATAATACTCATTATTCAACAGCAACATCTACCCTATCGTGGCTTGTTCGAATCGTGAGTATTTTCCTTAAGTTACAGTTTGTTTTCCATACCTCAAAGGTTTTAACATAAGTAAATGAAAGAAAAATCAAATACACTTATAGTTTATTTCAAACAAAGATTGGAGATGATTAATACAATAGAACCTCCATAGTTGACCGCCTCCTTAAGTTGACCTAGTTTTCATAGACCAGACATGCACCACATGTACATATCAGCACAGCAGGCCTAGTTCCTTATGTTGACCACTTCTATGTTAACCAGTTTTTTACAGTCCCTTGGGTGGTAAACTCACAAGGGTTCTACTGTATTCCAAACTGTAGCAAAACTAAACTTTTTTAATGAGTTGCCTCATTTGCAAAATTGAGTTAGGAAGATAGGTTACTGTGAGCTTCTGAAACCTAAACCAGTTATAAAGGAGCCAGTCTCCTGGAGTACATTCTTGACACCTGCTGCCTCCTCTCTTAGGAGGGAATCTGGCACTTACCCTCCCCAGCTCTCTCACTCTTGCTTCTTGGACAGCATGTTTTAAAACCAATTTCCAAATGTTGTGAAAACTGCTTTCTGTTACCTTCTCTTTCTCCTAAGATGTAAGTATGTTCAAGGCTCTCTGATCTAAAAAACGAAAAAACCCTCCTTCCAGCCCCTGCCCACTCACAGTCCTTTCCGTCTCTCCCCCTGAAGTCAGTGCTGAAAGCTCGGCCTCTGCTGTCCTTGATGCACTGCTCGCTCAGTGCCTCCACTTCATCACCTCCCAGTCAGTATGTTCCTGGCTGGCAGAGGGTGCACACCCCTCATTCTGCTGACTTGTTTGTGTGGAGGTTGCACCTTATGTGGATAGAGCTTCCCATGTCTTACCATCATGTCTCTGAGGCATTTGCTACTCAGATTTCTTTCTCTCAGCATACCCCTTCCCCAGGATTTTTCTCAATGTCTTAGATAGGCTGTGTCGTTCATTTACAACCCGGTGACTTCCAGCTTCTGTCTTCATTGCACATTTCATGTGGTTCCCTGGTGTATATTCCCAACGGTCTACTGGGCATGCTCCCCGAACATCTCATAATACCATAAACACCAATTTTAAGAAATGAGCTCAGCTCGGCACCTGTGGCTCAAGCGGCTAAGGCGCCAGCCACATACACCTAAGGTGGCAGGTTCGAATCCCCAGTCCAGGCCCCCCAAACAACAATGATGGCTGCAACTAAAAAATGGCCGTGCGTTGTGGTGGGTGCCTGTGGTCCCAGCTACTTGGGAGGCTGAGGCAGGAGACTCACTTGAGCCCAGGAGTTGGAGGTTGCTATGAGTTGTGATGCCATGGCACTCTACCCAGGGGGATAGCTTGAGGCTCCGTCTCAAAAAAAAAAAAAAAAAAAGAAATGAGCTCATCTCCCTCATGAACTTACTGTAGTTACTCCCAATTTTTTTCTAAATAAATAGCATGATTATTTCCCCAGTTTTCACCCATCTAGAAATTGGGATGCTTTCTTAGATGTTTTCACTACTTTACCAGACCTTTACATGAAAGAAGCCCAAGTGCCCATCGATCCACGAATGGATCAACAAACTGTGGTATATGTACACCATGGAATACTATGCAGCCCTAAAGAAAGATGGAGACTTTACCTCCTTCATGTTTACATGGATGGAGCTGAAAAATGTTCTTCTTAGCAAAGTATCACAAAAATGGAAGAAAAAGTATCCAATGTACCCAGTCCTATTATGAAACTAATTTATAGCTTTCATATGAAAGCTATAACCTAATTATAGCCTAAGAATATGGGGAGGGGGAGGAGAAGGGGTGGATGGGCAGAGGGAGGGTGATTGGTGGGATCACCTCTATGGTTTATCTTTCAAAGGTACAAGTGACTCTTTCTAAAAGTAGAATATAAACATCTTAACATAATAACTAAGGAAATGACATGAAGGCTATGTTAACCAGTTTGATGAAAATATTTCAAATTGTATATGAAAACACCACACTGTACCCCATGATTGCATTAATGTACACAGTTATCATTTAATAAAAAAAGAAAATAAAATAAAACAGACAATTAAAAAAAAATCAGCCACCCACAGATTCTAGCATCTAAATATCTCTTCAGTCTGTCTCCTTTTCTCTGTTAACTCTGACACTGTCCTTAGTTTAAGTTCTCATTGTTTCTCATCTAGATTATTGCAAAAGCTCTGAGCCAATCTCTTTGCCTTTAATCTTCCCCTCTCCAATCTAGTCTAGTTAGGAGCAGTTACTGGAGTCAGTGTTTTTGTTTTTTTATTTTTACTATAAAAATAAAAGTGACTGAAACGTACCATAGAATGCTAAATCAAATCTCTAAATTAATACAATCAAAAATATTTTCTCCTCCTTACTAAGATATACTCCAGACCACTCTGCTGCATGCATCTGATATGCCTCTTACTGGTAAAGCAGCATTATGAAAATGGATCTCCTATTTTCAAATTTATTTTTTCCCTAAGCCTAAATAACAGCTTTAGTTTACAAGTCTTCCTTAAGCATTCTGTCTGTTATAGGAAAAAACAGACTATCTACAAAAATGTAATATGAGGATGTTTTAAGTAACTTCTAAGCCCCTTATAGTTGGTAGACTATAAACAATTACTGTTGTTACGAAAACTTTTGGTGAGAATTATATTTCAGTCTAATTTGTCCAAAGATTTGCCTTAATTATGTAAACTTACATTCTTTTATAAAAATGTTTCTGAGCTAGAAGTTCAGAATATTGAATTTATTTTCTTAACATGGAATCAGATACACATCTACCATCTAAATATCTCTTCAGTCTGTCTCCTTATTTTTGAATAAGGAATATTTCAGTTATTCTTGAAAAAGAATATTTCAGTTAAGAAAGATTTTTTAACTCTAGAACTTTTAAAGTATTATAATTCTATTTCTTTTTTCTATTAATTTAAAAAATACTAGATTGATATAAATGCCTATTTATCACTGTAAACCAGTCAAAGCAGAGCACAGCAAAGCAGAGCAGAGTTTATGGGTGGTAATAACTAATACCCTCCTGAGGTAGGAAAATACTTCACACTCACTCAAGAGATGTAGGCTTTCTGGATTACAGACACACAGACACATGAGAGTTTATTGCTTGCATTTTACAGTTTCAGGCACAGATCAAAACAAAACACAGAAACAGAAAAATTTGCAAATCAAGATCTCGAACAGTTGGTCTTTTTACAATGGACACAAAATACTTTTTTAGTTATTTGAGCTGTCCAATAAGCAAGCAGACAAGAAAACAAAAAGCCTAATAAATTAGATTCCCTGATCACCAAATGATCAGACCATAAAAAAACCCCAAATTTCTAATCAATACCAATGGGAAATGATTGATTAGGTGTGCATGAACCAGAAACAAAATTAGTGGAGAGAGTTAAATTAAAAATTAGAAAAAAAGAGTGTCAATAAAGTTAAAGTTCTCTTTGCTGCTTAATATTCACCCCAGAAGCCAAGAAAAGATGTGCCTGGGCCTAAGTGGCCCATAAGATACACTGTTTAAGCTACACAGTTGATTTGGCTTCATCGGGTCGGTCCATATGGAACTCTCAGACCTTCAAAACTGTTAGAAAAGAAAATTTTTAGAAAATACTGAAACCAGCTGGGTGGTGGCTCATGCCTTTAATCCAGGCACTTTGGGGAGACTAAGGAGGGAGGATTGCTTGAGGTCAAGAGTTTGGGATTAGCCTGGACCCCCCCATCTCTAAAAAAAATAAAAAATAAGCCAGGGGTGGTGGTGCACACCTATAGTTCCAGCTACTTGGGAGGCTGAGGCAGGGGAACTCCTTGAGCCCAGGAGTTAGAGGCTGCAGTGAGCAATGGTGACACCACTCTACTATAGCTAAGCAACAGAACAAGACCCTATCTCCAAAAAGAAAAAGAAAACATTGAAACCAAATATTTCACCCTTGGAGGCCTTTTCATAACACTTGAGGTTTTATCAAAGACTCATCACCATAGTAACCTACCACCATGGGGGAACTAGGATACCTCATGCAGGTATTTTGGGAATGAGAAAAAAAGAAAAAGTAAGGAGTCATTTCTAAGAAAATGTTATCAACTGTGTTGTTTTAGAATTAAATGAGAGAATATATATAATAGTATTTTGAGATGTATAAAGTGGTATTCAGTGGTTTTTATATAATCAAATTCGTCTGAAACCAGATTCACAAAAATTATTCAACTGAGCCCACAGAATCAGCAGCCTGAGTTAAGTTGACCTTCCGTTATCCTTAACAAACTAAACACTTTCTCAAATCATAGATCACAACTCATCCTGAAGTTGCTTTCTTATTGTAGTGAGATGGTGTACAAAGCATGCTAAGGCTGGCAGAATGCTCTGCATATACTTATAACACACATGCCCTTTTAGTATTTTCTGTAGCAGTGCTGTACAACAGAAATATAATGTAAGTCCCTCACATAAGTCAGAATTTCTAGTAACTACAGTCAAAAGTAAAAAAGAAATACATGAAATTAATTTTAATTAATACAGTATTGTTAACCTGATATATCCAAAATGTTACCATTTAAACATGGAAACATTTATTTAAACATTATAAGAATTAAACATGTAAACATTATTTAAACATTATAAGAATTATTAATGAGACATTTTACAATTTTTTTGGTACTAAGTCTCTGAAATTTAGAGTGTGCTTTATATTTAGAGCACATTTTAATTTGAATTAGCCACATTTGAAGAGTTCAGTAGTGACACGTGGCTAGTAGCTACAATTTTGGACAGAACAGATTTATGGATTTGCTCTTACAGGGACTTAGTCCAAATATCTTATATTATGCAGTAGTAAGTAGAAGTATCCTGTTCTAATGGCTTTTTAAGTGTTTAACCAAACGGGGCCAAGGAAGTATGATTGTTTTATTTGTCTTATACCATCCCAAGGAGTTTCTGAAGTAGAAAATGCATTAAAATTTTTATCACTAAGAATTTGTTCATGAAAATAAAACAGAGATTAATAGAAGTATCCAT